TTAACTTTTCTTGAAATATGCTTATATTGTTTGAAATTAATTTGATTTGGAGAAATTTTTCCCTACTGAGACTATAGCAACTGGAATTATCACTTTTCAATTTATTTATTCTTAAGTTTCTATTTTTAATATTGTGCTGGGGGCACAATATTAATGTGTGACATTTCTTATAACACAACATACTCGCTTTTTCAATTTAAACAAGAATTTTACATATCATATTCAAACTCTGCGGTAAAGTTGTATTCGACAGTTTATAACCTTAAAAAACTACAACAGGATATTTTTCATAATGTAAGTCAGAGCATACATTGCAATTTTCCCTGTCTCTTTAACACTCTGTGGATCCAAATAGTAATAAAAAATATTAGTATCTCCTTTCTTACATCATACACAAAAATTGACTCAAAATTCAGCATAAACCTCAGTCTAAGAACTAAAACTATAAAACACTTAGAAGATTGGAGTAAACTGTAACATTAGGTTGGGTAAAGCATTCATAATTATGGTATCGAAAACAAAAAGTACAATGACTAATAGATAAATTGAAGTCCATAAAAAAATATGCCCTAAAGGACACTGTCAAGAAAGTGTAACAACCACCACAGAATGGGAGAAAATATTTGCAAATCATATGTTTGCCAAGAACTCTTATATAGTATATAAAAGCATATATGAAAGTCAAGGGTATGATGCATGTACCTAGACTCCCAGCCATGTGGGAGTCAGAGATAGGAGAGTTGTGACTCAATCCAGTCCACACAAAAAGTAATGAGGCCCTATCTCAAAAAACACACCTGTATTTCCAGCTACTTGGGAAGCAGAAGTAAGAGGATTATGTTTTAGGCCGGCCTGGGCAAAAGTGTGAGACCTTAAAATACACTAAAACAAAAAGGGTTACAGTGCCCAAGTGGTAGAAAACTGTGAGGTGAAGGCTTTGAGTTCAAATCTCAATGCTATCAAAAAAAAAAGATCCCCTATATTAATAACAAAAATACAGCTGGAGGTGCAGCTTAAGAGGTAGAGCACCTGCCTAGAAAGTGCAAGGCCCTCAGCACAAACCCCAGTACCTCACACCAAAAAGTACAAAACACCCGGTTTTTTACATGGGCAAAGGATCTGTATAAGCATTTCTCAAAAGAAAACATACAATCAAAAATTATCACAGATCCATTAGGAAAATGTAAATCAAATCTTCAGTGAGATACCACATTATAACTAGTAATATGGTAACAATCAGAAATGCTGAAAATAATTGCTGGCAAACATAAGGAGAATTGGAACCCTCAAAATACTGCCAGGAGGAAATAGTTCAGGCACTTTGAAAGCAGGTGGATAGCTCCTCAGAAGCTTAGGCATACAATTGACAGATGACTCCGCAAATCTGCTTATGGGTATCTAGCTAAGCACATGTCCACACAAAAATTCATACATGATGTTCATTGTAGCAATATTCATAACAGCCAAAAAATGGAAAAAACTCATGTGTCTATCAACTTATGAAATGATAAAGTGTGGTATATCTATGAAAGGAATATTATTTAGTAATGAAAAAGGAAGTGTTAATCCATGTTACCACACAGATAAACCTTGAAACACATCATGCTAAGTTAAAGAATCAGTGTCAAGCTTTATGCGTGTTTCATCTACAGTGTGGGGAGGAGAGAAACTCCTTTGGGGCCTATGCTTCAAGGACTCTTGTGTTCCTCTTAGCCTAGTAAATTTGCTGAAAGCTTTGCTCAGTATTTCAATCCCTTGCCACTCCTCCCCACCGCGAATCAGCAGATGTCCATATGGTATTTTCCTCTTCTTCAATCTGTCCCTCTTTTATTTATTAGAGATGAGATTTTTCTACTTTTATTTAGCTTTTCTGAAAGCTAAATAAAAATCCTCCTGTGGGAGGATTTGCCTAAGGTGCTCTGACAGTTACTACTGAAGGCTTTCCCTCTGGCATAATGTTTGCCAAAATATTTTTTAAATAAATAATTGCAGCATTTTTATCATGTCATTTCCCATCTTCAATGACTTTTCTTGACCTTAGTTTACTTTAACAGTCTCCATCTGTTTGGTTCCCTACTGCCAAGGCAGGTATCACAGACACTCCTCCTCTCCTTCTGCCCTCAGATGACCATGCTCTTTCTCTAGGTTCTCCAATGTGACACTGCTTCTCTCACCTCATGACCTTCACCTAGAACATCTCCTCAACTTTCTCTCTAACCATTTGTCCTATCCTAGGCCCCCAGGCCTCTCATTAATACATGCCCAAGTGGAAATTAGGACATAAGCCAGAAATTGAATTTTCTAAATTTACAAAGCTCAGACTGGTCTCAGCAGATACCAGATGTTCCATGACTCCTATGACCTAGAACACCTGTTCATCACTTCCCAGAATGGAAAGCATCTCCACAGTTGGGCTGTTGGTATCCAATCAGAGCATCAAGAATATGCAGTGAACACATATCAGCTTTTAAGCATGGAACATGCATCCCCTTCTTGGAGTGCCACAGATCTGATTTCCTTTGGAAGAACCACCACTCTCCCATTTAAATGTTATTAACAAACTGTTGCTCAAGTTCAAGGTATGGGGAATCATTCAGTCTCCACCTAAGTGATGCAAAGAGCACATGGAGAGGTAGTGAATGGAGTAGTGACTCTAACAACAGCCTTTGTAAATGACCTTATGGTCATTTAGGTAGCTTGGCTACATTCCATCATTGTGAAACCTTGAGGTCACTTCAAGACCAATACTGGGCTTTGCATCCAAGTATTGAAGTGGAAGTGACGACAACCTTTATTGTTCCTCATTACTAGAAGTTCTTCTGAAGGTGCCTTATCTGTTATTGCCACCTTGTTCTTGTCTTTTGAAAATTGGTTTTTATTGCTGCAACTAAATTAAGTTGCAAAACAGGAATATTTTTTAATTTCTGCTGGCTACATCAAAGAGAATCACTTTTATGATGATATGACCTTAAAACCCCATCTACACTTATTAACTTGTCTTTCTGGAAACAGTAAAATAATAAGCCTAATAAGTTTAGAACTTTGAGCAAACCAAATAATATAGTCCTTGCTAGAAGTTAATGAAGTTGATTGTTTGTATTATACTTCCTTTTGCTCTTACAATAACAATGGTATTGCTTTTCTACTTATGTCACATAAAACTATTTTTTAAATTAGCAGAATTTGCATATAAATATTAAATTAAAGTTGAACAGCTGTAGGTTGGTATGGGAAACATCCCAAAATGTATTGTGAGAATGAAATTTGGGGAACATGGCTAGGGTGAAGGAATCTGGGCTGTGGCCAATTCAGGGGTGAGTGTAACTCATCCTTCATCACTTTCCACAGTCAGATTGCTCTTCTTTTCCAATTTCCTTTCCAAAAAAAATCTCAAATTTTTTATTCAAACTTGTTCCCTGGTCCTTAAAGTCTTTCTTGATTATCATCATTGGTATTCTCAGATTGAATATCAAAGGCTCGTGTTGTGTAGCAGCAGATTCTGTTGTGGAATGGTTAAAACAGCAGGCACTCAATAGTCATCAGAAAGCCAGGCCTTCTATAGAAGTTTATGTGTAATGTCTAAATTAGTGAGAAGAGAAATGACTTTAAAATGTTTTTGTATGCCTAAGGTCATGCTAGATGGATCCCATCATCCAGAAAGAGATTAGCTATGTCCCATCATTGTGAATCCTCAAGGTCACTTCAAGACCAACACTGGGCTTTGAATCCACGGAAGCTATTGAAATGGAAGTGACTGAAAGCTTTATCATTCCTGGTTATGAAAAGATCTTCTGAAGATGCCTGTGCTTTACACGTCTCATACATCATTTCTCTACATGGCTACTACTCACCATTTCTTTCTGTGTTTTCCTTGGCTCTTGTCTTCCTACAGTCTTTCTGTTTTTCATTTGTGGTGAAGAAATCAATAATTAGACTATGATGTGAATTGAAATAATGTTGCATTTTCTATTGAGAAGATAAAATCAGCACTCTGTTTTCATTTACAGTCATCATCTTTAGTTGCCTTTCAGCAGGGAAATTGCATCAAAAGATTCAATATTGATAATGCTACTAACCTGACTTTCAAAGTTGGGCTTTTTCATGTGGGGTATTCTTGGCACTGAACCCATCCTGATGTGGATTCTCTTTAATCATGTTGGCTTCAACTGACACAGGAAGGCAGAGAAACCCAGCAATCAACCTGTGATAAGTTTGCCCTAGGATCACATACTATTGCAGAAGCAACCATATGAACTTAATGAGGAAAGAGAAATTCACAGCAGGCAGCATGCAGTGGGCTGGCTCCCATGCACTCACAGGGTTCCAGGAAACTGAGGCAGAAGCACCAAAATGAGGATGGTGCCAAAGAGAGACATGCACTTTTCCTAAGAAGACCCTTTCCCCAGAGCAGGATGCACTGCACTGGCAACAATACAGGAAGGAAAGCAGCATGACAAGGTAACAATGGCACTGGGCCAAAAGTTAAGAAGGCTGAGTTTGGGACCAGGCTTTGCCATTGAATAGTTGTGTGCTTTTAGTGAGGCTTACAACCACCCTGAACCTCAATTTCCTTTTCTAAATATAGGAATAATAATTACTGCCATGGAAAACTCAGAACAATTGTGAATGCCAAATCTAAAAAATTCTGCTTATCAGAATTGCATCATGGAATATAAAACTTTATATAAACATAAAATGGTCAGGTGAATCATCATGTAAAAAAAGTATTAATAAAAGTAAACACCTTGCCCCTGAGTCAGATAGCTATTAGCATTCAATACTTGCCAGCATTGAATATTGTCACTATTGTTTAATTTTTTATTTCATTATGGTAAGAAAACTTAGCATGAGATCTACCCTTTCAACAAAATTTTAAGTGTACCCTACAGTACTGGATTCCCTGGGCTCAGCACTATAGGGTAGGTTTTTAGAACTTACTCGTGGTGCCTCATGAACACTTCATGCCCACTAACTAGAAACTTTCCATTCCCCTCCTCCAAGGCCATGGACCACACAATCCTACTCTCTGATCCTGTGAATGTGACTATTTAGTGCTATTGAGAGGTGAATACAGTATTTGTCCTTCCGTGTGTGACTGGTTTATTGTGCTAAGCATAATGTCTTCAAGGTCCATGAATGTGGTCACATTGCAGGATTTTGTTATGTTTTTAGACTGAATTATATTCCATTGTATGTATATACAATATTAGTCCTGCTCGATTCATCCATCCATGGATATTTAGGTTGTTCCAATCTTGGCTTGAGTGCTGCTGCAGTGAACATTGACTGGTGTTCTAATACCCCTTGGATATCCTGATTTCAATTCTTTTGGCTAGATACCCAGAAGTAGGGTTGCTAGGTCATATGTAACACTTTATAATTTTTTAGGTACTTGCTTACTGTATTTCATAGCAGCTGAACTATTTTGCTCTCCCACCAAAGCTAGACAACTTCCCAAATTCTCTCAATATATTTTCTATTTAAGTGATGAGTGCTATCCTAACAGGTGTAAAGTGATATCTTATTTTGAAATTTTTTTTTGGGTACTGTGGCTTCATGCTTGCTAAGCAGGCATTCTACCACTTGAACCATATCTCCAGTCCATTTTGTTCTGGTTATTTTGGAGATAGGGTCTCCCTTTTTGCCCAGGTATGCCTGAACCATAATCTTCCAATTTTAAATGTCCTGCTGTGGCTAGGATGACAGGCAGATGCTACCACATCTAGCTCTTTTCCATTGAGATGATGTTGTATTAACTGTTTGCTTAGGCTGGCCTGGAATTATAATCCTCTCATATAGCTTGGGATGACAGGCTTGATGCTATCACACCCAGCTATTGGTTGAAATGGGGATCTCACAAAGTCCCTGCCCAGGTTGGCCTCAAACCACAATTTGATCCACCTCAGCCTACCAAGTAGGTGTATTACATATATCATGTATAGCTTGATTTGCAGTTCTGATGATTAATGATGTTGATCATGTTTTTATATACCTGATAGTCATTTGTATGTCTTTTTGGAGACACATCTATTCAAACTTTTGCCCATTTAAAAAAATTGACTTATTAGGATATTTTGAATACTGTTTTTTATTTTAGCAGTTCTAATAGCTATATCATGATATGCCACATTGACTTTAATTGTGATTTCCCTAATGGCTAACCAAGCTAACCGCCTATTGTTATGCTCACTGACATTCATATATTCTTTCTGGTAAAATATCTCTTTATATTTTCTGCCCATTTTCTAATTGGATTGTTTCTTGCTTTACTGTTGAGTTTTAACCATTCTATACATTAGATATGAGTTCTCTGTTAAGATGTGGGTTTCAAGTATTTTCTCCCTGTCTGTAGCTTGCTCTTCCATCCTTTTTAATGATCTTTAATAAAACAAAAGGTTTTGGGGGAGTCAGATGTGGTGGGGAATGCCTGTAAACCCAGCTACAGGCAGAGATAAGGAGGGTCACAGTTTGAGGCCAGACCCAGGAAGAAAGCATGAGACCCTATCTGAAAAATAACTAAAGCAAAAAGGACTGGGGTATGGCTCAAGTGGTAGAGCACTTGCCTTGCAAGCACAAGGTCCTGAGTGCAAACTCCAGTAACACCTATATATAGAGAGAGATTAGATATAGATAAATATAGATATAAACATTTTTCTTTTATGTATCTTGCTTTGAGTCCTAATAAGAACTCTATGAAAACTGAGGGTTTTGTCCTATGTTATCTTCTGTCAGTTTTATAATTTTTCATTTAAATCCATTTTAATTTAATTTTGTTTGATGTTTAGATTCTTTTTTGCCTTGTGGCAAGTGAGGGACAGCTATGGATTTCCAGTTGGTCAAATACTATTTGTTGACAAGATTGTCCTTTGCACCTTTCTGAAATATCAGTTGTCCACATTTGTATGGAGATGTTTCTTGATTCTCTGTTCTACTCTTTGCAAATACAATAGTCTTGTTCTCTTCAGTCATTTATTAAGTCCTGAAATAAGGTAGAATTATACTCCTCCTTCCTTGTTTTCCAAATTGACTTGATTACTCAACATCACCTTTCTATGTAAAACTTTAATGTACTGTATCATTCATTTCTTATCATTTTCCCTACATGTTTTATTTTTGGTTTGGTTTTTAGGGAGTTTTCTTCTTTCACTCTTTCTTTCTTTTGTATTATTTACATTTCTTTATTGTCTCCTCCCATTAGCTTGGAAATACATGATATTTTACTCTTCTTTTAGCACTTTACTTAGAGCTTATAAAAATCTTAACTTCACTTTTGCCTCTACCCTCTTCCTAGACAATCTTAAAATAATTATTTTATTCTCCTAACTTATATGATGGTTTATTTTTATTTTATGCAGACAATATATATTGTTGTTGCTATTCCATTTGTTTGTTCATTTTTTTATTATTGTTGTACTGGGGATACATTGTGACATTTACAAAACTTATCACAATATATCATAGTTGAATTCTCCCCATCCATCATTCTCCTTTATTCTCCCTTCACCCATTTCTGGAATAGCTTTAACAGGTCTCATTTTTCCATTTACATGACTCTCTTAGCTTCCACATGGTCTCATTTATTTTTTACTTAAACAATGCTCTTTGCTGGGTGTGGTGGCACTTTGTTGAGTGTATGGTAATCCCAGCACTCAGGAAGCTGAGACAGGATGATCTAGAATATGAGGACAGCCTGAACTACAGAGTGAGACCTTGTCTCAAAAAAAAAAAAAAGTTCTTTTAACATTTCTTTCATTATTGGCCTGCTGGGTAAAGGAAAAATTTATTTTGAATATTTTCGTCTGACCTATAATCTACTTTATCAATTCTTTCTTTAGCTATATGTGAACTGCTACTAAACCTATCCATTGAGTTATTAATTTTGGTTAGGGTATTTTTTTAATTTAGAACTTTAACTTTAGAACTTTATAATTGCAGTATAAAGTTTTTATTTTTTGCTTTCATACTGTCTCTTTTCTCCTTGAATAACACAAAGTACAGTTATTCTAAGGGTCTATGCCTGACAACAACAATATCTGTAACCTTCCCAATGTTTCTACTCTAGTGTTTCCATTCATTTCATCCATGCGACCTTGTCTAATTGTGTGTAAGGATTTTTCCCTTATGTGCCAGATGGGTTTTGTAATATTTTTTATAGAAATGAAGTGAGGACTAGGATGGTATTGTCACTCATTAGGAAGTAATTGTGTTCATTTCTACTAAACATCTATGGGTATCTGAAATCTGGGATCTCCTCAATTTAACTATGGAGATTAAGAAGATTCTAAAATGAGCTTCCATTTCTTTGAGAATATTTTTACTTTTCATTTACACTTTCCCCTTGCTCTTTAGGAATCCCAAACCCTAGGAAAACAAGGCCCACCAATATTTTCCCTTTCTCAAAACTTGAAGTGTAGTTTTTGTATTCTTAGCCCTCTAAACCTGTCAGATGGGCTGTTCAGCCTCTTACCTGTTCAGCTGAGCTAGAAAAATTGGCCTTAATCACTGATCTCTATTCATCATCTTGCTGTCCTCTATTTTCAATCCCCTTACTTCATGGGCTCATTGTCTACTTCACTCCTTGAACTCTTAAGGTACTGACTGTTCTCTCCCTTCATCAACTACAAAGCCTTTGCCATACAGTGCCCCTGAAGCAAAAGAAGCAAAACTCCCATGGGAATCAGATACTCACAGTGCTTCCTCCTCTCTCCCCTGCCCTTCCTTCATGTGACCAAAGATGTCAGAGTCAGAGTCACTACTGCACATTTTTGCAAGTATGGCACTCACAGTGAAGCTAGTTCAGACTTTCAGTCTTTGTGCTGCTAATAGATGTTAAGAAAATTTTGCCTTCTCTTGTCTCACATTTCTATGGAGGACTTTCTACTACCATCTGGCCTCTCTCCTCATTCCTTTCCTGTACTTCCTTATGGAAGGATGAGTTCAATGTGATGTGAGCTTGAGGGAAGGTTCTGTGGGCTGTGGCACCTTACAGAGATGGTTGTCTATACAGAGAAGCATTGCATTCTGCTCTCAACTAGGTGAGATGTTTCCTGCAAGAGGAATGAGTGTAAGATTTAATCCACTATAGATAGTAGAGAAGATATTATATGCCTACTTGACCACAAATTAAACTGTATTCCTTGATCCAGTTTGTATCATTAATGGTAGTAATATTTTTCTCTCCCTTTGTTTCACTTTTATCTCATATTTCAACAGGTTCCAAACTCAGAATGGGGGAAAGAGGATGTGATTTGATTTCCTAAAAGCCCCAAGCAGTGATTGACCAAAAACTTCCTCCTGACTGTAAGTTGTTCTATGGAGGAAGCTTTCATCCTTATCTTTATGTGTGTCATCACCCCAAGTCACACTTGCATCTTCAAGCAATAGTAGTGATACATTCATCCATATGGTTTTTCCTCCTTATTGCCACATGTTATTTGTGGCCTGAGATTAATGACAAAATCATAGTAAACTGAAAACAAAGGATGTGGAGGAATTTTCTCATGGACACAGAGACTGACTATCATGGAATGGAGCAAAAGCAGCTGAGCAACCTGTGCCTTCTGCCCACAGCTATCATATCCAAATTTACTTTCTCTAACCAAATTATTAATTGAGGTTACATTTTGAGGAATGTCTTGTTATGCAGGCCTGGATGGCCTTGAACTCACCATTTAGTACAAGTTGGCTTGGAACCTGGCAATTCTCCTGCCTCAGTCTCCTGAGTTCTGAGATTATAGTATATGCCACTGTATCCAGCAGTAGTTTACATTTTTATACTTGTGACTTTTTAGAATAATTTATACAGGGCTGGGGATGCAGCTCAGTAGTAGAGTGCTTACCTAGCATGAGCAAAGCCTTCAGTTCAATCCCAGCACCAAAAAAAACAAAAAAGAGAGAGAGAGAAAATTCATGTAAAAAACAATAATATACTTCAGATCCACCAGTTGAGACCTGATGTCATCTAAAGCAAGACAAAAATTTCTTAAATCCACCTAGAACAAAAGAGCCTTGACAGTATTAATAATAGTGTGAACTTGGTCCCCAAATCCCAAACTGTGTTTATGTAGATATAGTCATAGATAAGTCTCCTTTATCTTAAATATTTCCATGACCTTTTATTTTCCTTTTTTCAGAGAATGTCTGCTCATTGCCACAGCAGTGCTCCAACAGAATGTTTTGGCAACAGTCCCTACTGTGGTCAGCAACTCCTTAAGCAGCTGGGATTTCTTAAAACAAGTGAGTAGCATTTGCCTTGCAGTGCTCCAGCAACAAAACAAGCAAAGCTTCCATGGGAATCAGATATTTACAGAGCATTCTCTCTCTTGCCCCTGCTCTTCCTTCATGTAACCAAGGAGGTCAGAGTCACTCATGCACATTTTGGCAATTACAGTGCTCACAGTGGAGCTTATATACAGATACAATCCTAAACACTAGGCCCTGCCACACATCACAGGGAACTTCTTGATTACACTGATTGTGAGATGAATAACCTGAATGTGTCAAGATGAAGGACTTGTGACAGATCAAAACTGTATCCCCTGTAGCAGACACTTGTCACCCAGTGAGCGTGTGTGTGTGTGTGTGTGTGTGTGTGTGTGTGTGCTTGGTGAGGAGTACAAGGTTCAGCTAAAGAAATTCCCAAAGCCAACAAGATTGTGGAGTGAATAAACATAAACATAAGCATCTAGCTTTTTCTTAACTATAGCGACAAAGTAAAGCAAAATCCAGCAACAATATCAATATACACATATACCCAAATCCCCAAATATTCAATTTTCATGGTTCTGCAGTGATTGATGGTACTTATCTAGAGACAAAGGGAATCCAAGGTAAAAATCACAAGCAGCAACTTAAAATGCAGCAGTCTTGTCTGGCTAATCCAACATGAACAAAGCCACTGCAAGGAGTCAGCCTCCACCTTACAAAAATGGGACCATGCAAATATACCCTTGACTAAAATTCAGCCTTACACTCCAAGTTGTTTCCACAATCTAATAACCTTCAAGCAAAAGAACTGAACAAGTTTTATTGGGCCACTACAACTTTAAGTAAATACCATATGAGAACCCTAGAGGTAGAAAATCTGCGAGAAATATTCAAGTGCTACAGAAGACCCTTACTGAGGCCTTAAAGATAGGCTGTGGGATTTCTATTTTAAAAAAATAACAATCTTGTATTAATAAAATTTTATGTGATCTTAAAAACTTTCTTGGTGTTGACTCAGTTCTGCAAACATCTGCCTTCATTTGGAGGAACTGGTAATAGTCCTCCTACCAGTGCAGGCCAATGAGTGACACACATTTCCACCTTTTGATGAGAAAGTTTTAAAAACCCACATTAGGCAAAAGGGTGTTTCTCAGAAGAAAAGCAGGCAGTTAGCTTTGACCAAGGGCTATTTGAATCACCCCAGAGCAGTACAGATGCTGGAGAGAGAGAAGATGGAGAATGGTTCTAAACCAGATCCACTTGGTTACTTCCTCTCCTTGCAACATTGCTGCAAAAAGAGGAAACGGGGACACCCAGGCTGAATAACTGTCTTCAGCCAAAGCTGTTAGGAAACCCTCTCAATAACCTATGATACCACCTATTATCACACAGATGTGTCATCTTCCTTATAGAACTTTATTCCAAAAGCAAGATTTATAGTTTTTTTCATGCAGACTATTGATACTAAAATACAAGCCAATGATTTAGACAAAAAAAAAAATGCAACATCTCAGGCAAAGTCCTTCCAGGAATTAAAATTTTGGCATTAACTCCACCAACTAACCAAATAAACAGTAAGACACGGTAAGCTTTAGCTCAGATGAAGACTCAAAGTTTGGACCAAAACTTAGGAGCTCCATGTTTCAATTTATCTCTGTCAGAGATCTCCCTGAGTTTGCTTCATTCTTCTCAGTCTTAGAATCCTGACCTATTTAAAAAAGGGCACTGGGGTTGATAATACTTGCAAAGTTTCCAGATATCTGTGTCTGATGCCCCATGAACACATGAAATTAATGTATTTACTCTGCTTGTTTTAAAATACAGAAATGTATCTTTATTTTTAAACAAATGGAAATATATCTATAACAATGTATACATAATAATAATGCACAACTGAGGCAGTGCCTCTCAAACAAAGGAAAGATTAGAAAACTTAGCCACCAGAGAGCTCATGGATTTGCCCAGTTTCTGTTGACTCTGATGCTTGTGTGCCTGGAGTGGCACAGAATCGGCCAGTGAAAGAGCAGTGAATGCTTCAATAAGGGCTGACATCTTGACCCTCTCCTCCTGCTTTGAGTCTCCATTGGTGGGCTGGGATTTGGGTCCTATGTAGGGTGGGGGAATGGGATGGGTGTTGGAGGAAGGGTTGGTGGTGTCTCCGACTCTCAGTGTTCCCAGGCTGGTAGCAGTAGTGAGTGGGTGGTTAAGGCCACTGATGCCAGGGGTGCTGGGATTAGTACTGGGTAGGGGCTGACCAACAGAGGTGGGTGGTGCAGATATGGACAGGGTAGAGGGCTGGGGGATCTGGAAGGAGCTTGGGGCCACTGAGTTGTGGTCACCAGAGGGAGGAGAAGCCCCAAGTGGAAGCCTTGAGAGGTCAAGGTGGTGGTGGAAGTGGTGGTGGTGGTGGTGGTGGTGGTGGTGGTGGTAGTGGTGGTGGTGGTGGTATTGGTGGTGGTGGTAGTGGTGGTTGTTGAGGTGGTGCTGGCCACTCTGTTTACCCCCAAACCACTCATAGGCTGTGAGGAAGATAGATTGGCTGGACGAGTGGTGGTGAGTGTGGCTGGACTAGTGATCATGGGGGTACCAGTAACTAAAGCAGTTCTCTGCATTAAATGGTGGGCTGGCATGTATAGGAAATTAGGGGGTCTAACGAGCCCACTTTGGGGCTTGATGGGCAGGGTGGTGGTTTTGGTCATGGAGGGGGTTTTGTGGTGAGCAGAGGCTGGAACAGTGGTGGTGAGTGTGGCTGGACTAGTGATCATGGGGGTACCGGTAACTAAAGTAGTTGTCTGCATTAAACAGTGGGCTGGCATGTGTAGGAAAGTAGGGGGTCTAATGAGCCCACTTTGGGGCTTGATGGGCAGGGTGTTGGTTTTGGTCATGGAGAGGATTTTGTGGTGAGAAGAGGCTGGGAATGTGCCCACCTGTGTGGAAAGAAAGGGGTTTTTTCCCTGGCTTTTAGTTGAGGTCACCCAGAGGCTGTTTGTCATGGAAATTGCAGAGGTCCGGCCAGGACCGGTAGGCAGGATGGTTGGTAAGGCATGCTGCCAAGGGCCTTTGGGTTTTGAGTGGGGCAGGCCCAGCAGGAGACCTTGTTAGTTTGGATGATACTGCAACTTGAGGGCATGGATGGGGATGATGTATCCATGGTACACTGGGGATAAAGTAGGTGGCCCGCCCCAAAGAAGTCCTGAAAATATAGGGCCTTGTAGTTTTCATGAAACGAAGCTTGAGGGTGGAGGGGATGATGTATCCATAGGTACAACTGGGAGGAAGTAGGTGCCCTCCCCACAGAAGCTGCCTGAAGATGTTCCTTGCAAAGGTCACTTGAATGTGACGAACTAAGAACAAAGGCTGGAAGCAGTTGCCTTTGGGAGGTGCGGGAGCTACGTAGTAACCACACAACCGCCACTGGAAAGGATGGTGCTCCCAGAGCTGCAAGGTTGTGGTAGTGACATGGAGGACTTGTGTTCCTTCCTTGTGTGTCATCTGTAGCCCTTTCTTCCATGGGACTCTGGCTGCTGGCAGTGGGAGGAAGCTGGTCTAGAGAAGAGGGGTGAGGTGTGCCCCCTCCTCTTCCACATCGGGGAGATGCCTCCAGTGGAGGTGTAGGAACTCGTGATTGCATTGCGCTTGGGCACTGGGATGCCACACGTGACTTGCTTTGGCGGGGAGCACCTAGAACATGTGCGTGCCCACTTACTTAAGGGGTCATCAAGGGTCTCAGATGCGAGACTTCTCTTCAGGGGTACAGGTTCTGTACAAAGACTAGCAGAAGACCCATCAGCCGGGAGGGGTTCAGATGTTGACGGGCTGCTCCCACTACTCTCATGCCTTTTCTCTTGCTTTTCTGGCCAGTCTCTAAGTATTTGGGATTCTTCCTCCCCCTACTTTTGCATTGTCTCTTGACATGGAGGACTTGTGTTCCTTCCTTTGGTGTCATCTTTAACCCTTTTTCCATGGGAACTCTGGCTGGGCAGTGGGAGAAGCTGTCTAGAGAAGGGGGTGAGTGGCCCCCTCCTCTTCCACAGCTGGGAGATGCCATCCAGTGTGGAGCTGTAGGAGTATGATTGCATTGCCTTGCACTGGGATGCCACACGTGAACTGTGCTTGGCGGAGCACCGTAGAACACTTGCGTCCGCTACTTAAGGGTATCAGGTCTTCAGAAGCCCGAATTCTCTTCAGGGTACAGGTTCTGTACAGGACTTATGCAGAAACCCTCAGCCGGGAGTTCAGTGTTGACGGCTGCTCCACTACTCTCATGGCCTTTTCTCTTGCTTTTCTGGCCATCTCTAAGTATTGGGATTCTTCCTCCACCCTACTTTTGCATTGTCTCTTTGAGAGTGTGTCCTCTGCACCTGGGCTGGGCATTTCTTTGCTGGGCAGGCGCGTGGAGTTGGGTCATCTGCCCTGCTCCTCCTTTCTTTGCACTATCCCTTTATTGAGCCTTTCAGGGACTCACTGTGGTCTCCTTTTCACTTGGCTCCTGGACATTTCTTTCCCTGGAGGCCAGTGTCCAGCAGACCATCTGACATGGCACTCGAGGTGGCCTTTTGGTTGTTACTGGCTGGGGCAAATCTGCTTGGTCGCTGGGTTGCAGACCATCCTGCAGTTTCCCGCAGGGAACATGGGCCCTGGGGTGACTGATCCCGCAAGGGGTGAGTACCCTGCTTGAGCAGTACCGTCTTTCCAGGTGCTTCCAGGAACCCTGGCATGAAATCCCCAGAATGGCAGGAGCAAGGTCTTCCTTATGGGCTAGAAGAGGGTGGGGAGTGAGGGTGGTTGGCTGGAGGAGCTGGACCAGGGAGGGGTGTGAGGGGCCGGCGGGCGGTGGCCGGGTCCGTCCTGGGCGGGGAGCATGAGGGCCCCGGCTTACCCTTGTATCTGTACATATCAGCAGTTCAGCAAGGTAGTTCTCCTGAAGCAGTGTCGCGGACGGTCGCTCTACCAGTTTGGTTTTCAGGGAACTTGTCCTAGGAGA